AAAAAAAAAAAAAAATTTACTCTTGCTGTTTGCTGCAGCGGCTAACTTTTTTTCACTTAACCTTTCAGGGATTTGCTGACATGTACTTTGGTTTCATATCATCTTTTAAACCAACTAATGTTGACGAATACCGTCAAAAGGTAAACTGCATGAACAAACACAAATTAATCAATTATCATTTCCCTTCAATTACTGATTATTGACCTATTGAAAGAGAACTGGCACGTGGTCTACAAATTGCCTTTTCTGTTTCAGATAAAATCATGGATTGACACATTCTCCTCATTAGGGGACAAGAGGATTGGGTATGCAAGAGAAAGAGTGACATGCTATATGCATGCAGCTGCATATCATATTCCTCACATGGTAACACAACACAACAACCTCAAACAATTTAGTGGTCAAGGTACAGTTTTGATCCTACTGTATAATTATATGGAACACAAATTACCCAAATTTATCAAAGAAAACCATTAAGGCAATATAAATCCTACTTTCATTTTTCTATTTAGGTGTCGAAAAAAACAATGATGACGCTAGGAGAATCTTGCAGAGAAAAACAAACCACACTGACGATCCTGCTGCAATTCTACGAGCAGAGCATCGCATTCGTGTGCTGAAGCACAGGGAAAGAAAGCCCAGAACATACACCAAAAAGAGCACAGGATATTGGGAAAATGACATTAAAGCAAACCGCAAAATGCGCAAACGTCTTAGCTATGACAAGCCTGTAGAATCAATATCTAATGAACACATGGCAATAACAACTGAGCTCCCTCCCAAACAAACTACAAAAAGAAAAAGGAAACAACCTTCAAGCAGTACTAAATCTACAGTGAACAAAAAATCAAAACGTGTTAAAAAATAATAAGTTCAGACCATAATTGTTCACTTGGGTATCCCTAAGTGGCAAAGATATGTTATTAAATATGTAAAACGTTGAACCATGTACATGTAACAACATTCCAGAAGATATAATCTTATTTAATTCTATACAAAGAACAATTTACTGTCTTGATAAATGTAAACTATGACAGATAAGCTGCATTAAAGTTAACCTTTTTACTCCCAAGAGTACTCAAGCCAGAAATCAAGAAAAATCCAAATTTCTTCCATAGTCTAAAAAGAAACTGACTAAAATCTTAGCACAGAAACATATGATTAAGAGTACTCTTGAAGTAAAAGGGTTAACCTAAGAGGTATCTCCAAGAGCTACTTTAATAAATGAGAAGGTAAGCTTCTCCTGAAAAGCTCTTGGAGAGGGATTGTGGTCTTCTACCCTGTATTTCTTAGGAGACCAGGAAACAAAATGTCTAATCTTCATGGGGTAATAAACTTTTATTCCCTGGCCATGTGAGTCAGCACAGTAATCCCAAAACTGTGGAAAAAACTTGGGGGGGAAGTCAGCCTTTTCAAGAAAATGATAGCGATCCCTGATTTGCCCTTTGTTTTTGAAAAGGCGCCTGTAGGCATCCCCGCGGAATTTTATAGTCACAGGTAACCTGGACTTAGACTTTAAATGCTGTTCCACAGCAACTCGTAGTGTTGCACACTCATCGAACAACAGAGACTGCTCTGGGGATGGATTCTCAAAAAACCTGAAAGAATATGAGAACAGAAAGTGTTAGGTAAATATTTTAACTGCAGTGCTTAAATCATTCAAGTGTAAGAACAGAAAAATCCTTCCTGTAGTAAACAATAAGTTCAGTATTACAGTACCAATAAGTATCATACACAAGAAAATAAGCAGGTCAAAAGCTTGAAATTGTAGCTAATTGAACCTTCGCTAGAGTCTCTGCACGTGGAATATTGCATATTGCAGAGGTAACAAATCAGTGGAGAGAATTACTTTTTTGATCAGTACATTGACGGAAGAATGAGTAGCTTCTCAACTTGTAAATAAAGTAGTTTTCGGGAAAAAAGTTAACGTTGAGCTGCCGCAAAAAGCTGAAAACAATCATTCAATCATACCGGATACAATCGAGGGAAACATTTTCTTGAGGTTCCCAGGTACAATCATATGGAGAATATCCTCTCCACAAAACTAAGTATTCAGTAGAGCCCTGTTTACAAATAAAAATATAAGCAAAATGCCCAAATGTTAAATTAAAAGTTTCCATTCTTCTCCTTTTGTCAAAGAGCGAATGTTGCAAACTAGACAGCCGTCTACAGCCATCAAATTACTTAGATTTCGCTCCCCATGCATAATAGTGGTAATCACTTTCCGTGAGAAAGAATTCAACTTACCGTGGCGTTTTCCCTTTGAGCAACGAGACGTTCCACTTCCCATAATCGTCCCCTTGTTTTCCGCTTTCTTTTTTCAATTTTAGGTAGAATATCAACGGTGGATACTCTGTCTAAAGCCGCGTAAAAACCCTTCTCTTTCCTCTGTCGAGCCGCCATTTTGAATAAGAACAGAAAGAATGCTCTCTTTGCATTTAGTGCGTGAACCAATCAGAAAACCGTGAAAACAGAGACATGATAGACAGCTTATTAGATATGGCTGATTGCATGAGTGTAAAGACCGCCCACTTTGGTTCGACATTTCTGGCGATGATACAGAGTGCTGAAACATGCACAGAAGGTAAGTGCAGCGATGGGTTAAGCTGACACTGTGATAACCTTTGACCTCACTATATATTGCAAGGCAAAGGAAATACAGCAGAGATTTCCTAACAAGTTCTCCAACATAGTGGTACGCATGGGTGGATTTCATATTGTTCTAAGCTTTCTTTCTCTGTTAGGGAAGAAATTTGCTGGTTCTGGACTTGATGATCTCTTGATTGAGTCAGGTGTATACACTGTTGGTTCCACGTCCACTTTAAGCCCCGTCTACATGAGCAATTTTTATATGGCAAATTTTATTTGCCCATGTAGATAATGAAAAATAACCAATTTTTAGGTGACAACTGCATTTGCTGAAAAGCTGGCATGTTAGTTTTTATGTGGCAAATTAAAATTGCCACAAAAAAAAATTGTCCGTGCAGATGAGACGCCATATAAAATGTGACAAACACGCCTAAAGCTGCAATGTCTGGCATGTCTTCTGACTTTCACCATCCTGCTTTTTTCCTTTCGATGAGCATCTCTGTTGTGCAAAATTATTACTGACGCAAATTAACAACAAATATTTGTCAAGCCATCTACATGGGCAAACAAAAATTGCCAAATACAGTGGCCACATAAAAATTGCTCCTGTAGATGGGGCTTTAATGAAAGGAAAATCGTACAACCGAGGAATAAGGGCACACAAGCTCTGTTTAGAAGTGTTCTTCCGTCTCATGTGGGATGCTTTTATTATCTGGTATGAATCGCGTGATGAAAAGATCCCAGAACACATCTTACGCAAGATTGTGGACTACATTCGAGTAGTAGAGAGTGACAAAGAGGGTGCCGATCTGACTGAAATCACGGATCTATTCGCCGCCATTAAATTAGAGAATCAAGAAAGGTCCAAGCCATTTGCATTTTGGGATGAGTATTGCTTTATCTAAAGGCAAAGAGAACTGGAAATTGGAAGTTGCATCTTTCCAGTACTGCAGC